CATGGCTTTACTGAGTTATGCAAGCCCCTTCGCCACGACAAGGCAGTGATCCATGAAGGGGCATTTGGAAATTACTACCGGGTAATCTTTTATTTGCAAATAAAAGCTTTACTTCTTTCCACCTATCTGGTGTGAGTCATTGGGCCTACACGCCAGGTATAGGACCCAAGTTTTCTGGGACAACAATTTCTGGCACCTGAAGAAGGACATCGCCTAAGGGCCTCTCCTGGTTCTGCCGAGCCAATCCCAAAGCGTCAGCTGAAAGACCCAACAGCACGGACTGGTAAATATAAAGTGAGTAGTTGCCAGATGTGTGGGTGTTTTCCCTGAATAAACTTCTGGCTGGACCCCTGGGCTGTGTGTCAACCAGTCTCAGCCGCACCTGGGCTCCCATGAGCTTGTCTTGAGCAGTAATCGGGATGCTCCTGGAAAGCAAGGGAGACTGTTAGATCTGCGTGCCCAGCCAACACTGTGAAAGGAAGAGTGAGCGTTTATGAGCCATCACTAAATAAGCCAGAGTTGGGCATTTGGGGTGACATAAGGGTGGCGCTGGAGATTCAAAGGTGAGATGCCTAAGAAGTGTGGAAAGGAGGGCTGAAGAGGCCAGGGAAAGAAAACATTCTCAATCTTCATCTGGTCATTTGGAATGGGTATAAGTCCTGGACCTACTACCTGACCATTTTGGGCTGGCCTGATGAGGTTTCAGCATCTAGGCACCACCACCAGTACATATTCACCTGTGAGGCACAGCCAGAAGCAATCAGCCTCCAGCATCCAGATGCCAAGAACAGTATACATTCACCTGTGAAGCGTGGCTGGGCTTTATCAGTATCTGGTTCTCAGTAAATGCCAAGACCAGTAGAGATTCACCTGTGAGGCTTTGCTGAGGTTTCAGGGATCAGAAAGAAAATAGGCCACCCAATGTGCCAAAAAGAAAATGGGAGGTTTCAGGATGTAGTCCTCTTGGATGCATCCTTAAACATTGGAAACAGTTTGGAGGGGACCAGCTGACATTTTACTGCCAAACGGCTTGGCCGCTGCACCAATTAGAGGATGGAGCAATGTGTCCACTGAGCAGCAGTTTGAAATGTATTGAAATTTTAGAGCTGTATTTGTTTTACAAAAGAAACGGGAAGTGGGAAGAAGTCACGTATGTCAATGCTCTTATGTCATTGTGGAAAAATAAGGAGATGCAAGGATGGTATGGGATCATAGCTCCATAGCCCTGAATTTGGGTCTTGGGTCCTCCTCAACCACCCCCACTAGGGATAGTGACTTTTATTAATGTCTGCTGTTTTCTCTTAGCCTTGTCCTGTAAATTAAAAAAAAAAAAATCTTTTATATATTAACTTTTTCACTGTCTTGTTGCAGACCACCCAGAGTCACTTTTTTGTGAGATGGGCGGCCACATAAACTTGACAAATAAATAAGTAAGGCAGACCATGGAGATGCTCAGCAACAGCTTAGCGAGGCCCACAGATGATAGACTGGACGATGAAGCCATCCTTCTTATGTTAGGACACTCCCGTTCTGGGATTGCAGCCCTGTTTGCTGGCCCTGCCTGCACCGGAGGGACTGGATAAGGCGCCTCTGCTGAGGCAAAGGGCTGGG